AATTAATTAAATTTGTAAATTAAACTTTTTAACAAATAACTATTATTTAAAAAGGAACGCTTTGTAAGTTATGTCATAGAAATTTTATTCATCAAATTGAATCAGAAAATGAGCAACTATAAACCAATTATCGACACTATACGTCGATTTATATTTCTCGGACTTTCGTCACAGTTATTTTCACCTACGTCAGTACCCCCATGACTCGAACATAGTTACCTGCGACCTTTCGCCATTGCGTCGGTGAAAGAATACCCGCTCTGAGCTTGATTTAAATCAATCGATACCCCGTAACGGCAGATACAGGCACCCGGTCTGTCGAACAATGATAATCGCCGTTTCACATTTATTGCCAGTAATTTTTAGGCGACGGCGGTGACTCCGTCACAGTTGGGCAATTCGTACATCCTGTTTTCTGTGCGGAAACCACTACGAACTATTGTTAGTATTGGCAGGGGCAGGGGTTTATGAAAATTTGCTGATGTGTGCTTGTTATTGCTATGTTTTTATGGAAAAAGATAATGATATATTTAGATGACTGTAACTTTCCGTCAAAGAAATTATGAAATATTTTCGTCAATCAACAAAAGATTATTTGAATAATGATTGATTAACAAATGAAACACTTAAAAATAGATGGGATAATTAGTATCATTCAAACATATCTACAGTGACTTTATAACTCCTCCAACTAATCTAAGAACATATGAACACTTAACCACATGAACTCCTCCTCTTCTTCTTCTACGAACTATGTAAATTCGCGCGAAATTTAAATTTTAAAACAGGTTATCACAAATGGAAATTTATTTTTAATAAGTCGGCAAGAATACCCTTACTATGATTCCTAATAAGATTGCACAGTTTTTGAAACTAGAACATCCTGAAACATATACAGGCCATTCATTCCGAATAACATCGGCAACGTTACTGGGTAATACAGGAGTTGATGTGTTAGCAATCAAGAGACATGGTGGGTGGAAATCAGCCACAATTGCAGAGTTATGTTGCTGACAGTTTAACAAAAATGAAATAGCCAACAGAATTCTCTACAATGACACTTTAACTACAGATTCTAGTAGTACGTCGCATTATGCTGTTTTACTGGACGAGTCAGATAATATTGAACCTCCGATAACTGAAATGGAGCGGTCAAATCATTTTGAGAAAAATGTGACAATTAGTAAACGCGAGGGGAATAATTATCCATATTTTATAAATGTTACTAATTGTAATAACTGTACAATTACTATAAACATTCATTCATAATAATTAATAAAATGTAATGTTCATCAAATATTTCTATTTATTTGTTCATAAAATATGCATTTATAACTCGAAATCGCTTTTTCCCTGGGGAGTAAGTAACTTCCACTTCTACGGTAAAATCCACTTACCTCCTTAAAAACAATGTGTTAATAGTGTATTTACTACAATGGGAACAGATAAAAGTCACTGTTCTATATCGTAGATATCCGAACTAGTATCAATTTACTTTAATGAAAAAGAAAAACCTACAAAAATATAGAAAATGATAAAATTAGTAAGCAAATATAAATTCCATGTGAACAGAGATTTTCAAAATATACACGTGACTGGGCGGAATTAAAAATGAATTCCTTCCAAAAAATTACTTTCACTGTAAAGCCATTTTACGAACGGTTAGTGGAAAATTTCATTTAGATAACAACAAAGACTCATTCTCTTCACAGTGAATTTATTATGGATTATGACCGTATGTAGCACACGCATATCCGAGCTGTTCCGACCAAGACAACAATACAAGCGTTAACGAGATATGTGGGGCAACGCCACGCTCTGTCCGACATNTTAGCCCATAAGTCGGAGACTTGTGCGGGAGAGGAGGCGGCATATTATTATTAGGCAGGCCGCATTTGCGCCCAGGAACGACTTATGTTGGTAGGGATGATATTTTTCTTGCCTCAAGATACGTAGCACTGTGGTCTGACTAATTTCATTGTTTAATGCAACCAATCGCGAAATATTATGAGGATTATCTACCATACTTATCAAAATATTCTGTTTGTGATCTTCACTAACGCTTGGACTTCCAGGTTTTGGAATATCTACGACATTGCCAGTTTCTCCAAAAGATTCTATCTTACTGACATGATTGGCTGATACGGCGATCTGGATGTTTTTCATTAAATAAATCGCAAAGTTCCTGCTGCGTTCTAGTCTTATCCCCGCATCCGATAAAAATTAAAATTTCAATTCTTCGTGTGGCAGTTAAATGTGCCATAATGCTTTAAATTCAACGATAATTTTTATATCGCTTACAATACTTAGAAAGTCGGTATGACAGTGACATTTTGTAAAGATTTACATCTACGTGATCCATAAAAAACTTCAGGCATTTCGAAAAACTAAATTTGATAACGTTTTTGCTTTATTTTAATTGATTTGGNTGGTCGAGTCTGTCAAAAGCTTTAGTGAAGTCGGTACAGATAACATCGACTTCTAACATCTTTTCAAGTTTCTCGCTAATAAACTGAGTTTTTTGGACAAGGTTAATAACAGTGGATCTGCCCTTAATGAAACCGTGTTGCTCCCACGACAACAAGGATCTGTATAAAAAGCCATCTAATAGAATTTCAAATATTTTGGAGAAATTGCAAATAATATAATTCTACTTAAAAAAATCTTCGTACAGAGTTCTGCCAGTAATCACATTTTTCGTTTTGACATATACTTTTTGGTGAAATAAAAAAAATTTGTAATCTTAGTTCAAAAACATGCTCAAATAAGCAAAAAATTAAAAAATTACTTGCAGCAATAAATTTTTCAGTAATTGTAAATAAAAAAAACATTGTTTGATCCAAAACTATTTGCTATAAACATAAATCGAATAGTGAATAAATAAAATAAATTATAATTTTTTTCCGTAGGATCGATTAGTGTACTTATTTTTTTTTAAGTTTGATGAATTCATAAATATACAGTGTGTCCAAGATAAGGATGGGATAGCATTAGGATCTAGGAAACGGTAAGAGACACGGGGTGGCTCAGATTAGAAAAAAGTTGTGTTTTTTTATACCTAACAATATGCTGTTCAAAAAATTTTAAAATTCCGAAAAACCCGAAATTTTGCAAAATTGTTTAATTTTTTCTAGCTTTATTTGAAAACGAATTTTAAAATAAATTACATATTTATAATGCCACTTTTTTCGCTCTATACAATGGCGTCAACATTTTTGCAATCCGACGCTTCGTCTTCGAGGGGCCATCATCGGGTTAATTTTTTTTAAATAAGTCGCTGCTATTTTTATGACAAAATCTAAAGTAATTTTCAATTCTGAATTAGACGATATTACTATTGTAATTGCTTAATAAGTTTTTAGCTTGTTTTAGCTATAATTTAACTGAACGCTTTCAAAATATCTATTGGATGAAATCATAACAGTACACAAGTCAATACCGCACAAAAATCCAACAATTTTTTACTGTTAGCAATACTAATTAGAAATAATAAAATATTTCATAAATTCATATTATTTTTTTATTAGGTACAACTTTTTAAATTATGGATTAAACAAATTGTGGGACATTTTGTGCTGTACTGACTTTTATTCTCCTCTCTCTCTTCTCTAATACAGAATTAAAAATGACTAGATTTTTTCATAAAAATAGCAGCGATATATTAAAAAAATTAATCTGATGATGACCCCTCGAAGACGAAACGTTGGATTGCAAAAATGTTGACGCCATTGGATAGAGCGAAAAAAGTGGCAATGTAAATATGCAAATTATTTAAAATTCGTTTTCAAATAAAGCCAGAAAAAATAAAACGATTTTGCAAAATTTCGGGTTTTCGGATTTCGCGTCAACAGTAGACTTTGCAGTTAATACTTTATATTGCTAAAATCTCAAATCATCCAGAGATAATTTATCATTTGTGCATTTGTAATTCAACTTAGATGTTTATAGCAATACTGTACAAAAATAAATTTGTGGGTCAAACAATGAGACAGCTTTTTTTAATTTTTTTCCGTAAAATTGAATGGTGTTATCAGTTTTTGAATGTTTTTTAATTTAAACAAATTATCAACAATTACTGAAAAATTGATTGCTGTAAGTAGGCTTGCCAGATCTCCGGGTTTTGATGGTACATCTTCGGGCTCCGGGTTAATATGTCATTTCTCCGGGTTAACGCCCTACCCACACTCGAAATCCATTTCCTCCAGTCATATTCCTTTTTTTTAGACATGGATTTGTCTAATTGCAGAACTTAGGATTATATATTTCTTTTTTTTTAGAGCTCAATTTCTTCATAAACAATTTCATCAATTCAATCATCATTCAATTTTTATCTAAAAAAAGAAATAAAAAACGAAAAATCAGAAAAAAACTGTTTTTCGCATTTTTCTCGGAAATTTTGAGGTTATGTTAAAAAGTGACCTCCGCAAAAGATGTAGATTTCTGTATGATCTACAACTTTTGTATTGGATACTTTTTTGTTTGACGTCAATTTTCGCCAGAAATCCCAATGATACAATTTTTTATAACTTTTCAACCCCCCAAATCTACCCTCCGCCGCCCCTGCTCACGCATTTATTTTTTTTAGGTTTATTATAAGCCCTTTTACCATTTCCACTTATAAAAGTCCAGGTAACAATTTTTTTTTTCTCCAAGTGTCTTAGGTCCTTTATTCAATACTAGCTTTTACCCGCGGCTTCGCTCGCATTGAAGCCATTAAATAAGTATCAGAGATCATAAAATCACGAATTAACCACAAAAATTACACCTAACCTGAAACAATAAATATAGAAAATCTTTCGTAAAAAATAAATTTTTTTTTTAATAAAAAGTATCCTATGTTACTTCTAATACCTCCAAGAATTATATAGTAGGGATTTATTTATGTGTTGAAATACATCTGTGTGGATGTTTTTGTATAGATTTTGGGTGTCTTCTCATTTTGATCGTGAATTTCTCTAAAATGATGGCTGATTTTATGAAATATATATATTTTGTTACAGGTTTTGTGCATCTATCCGAAATTGATCCACCCCTGGCCTGTAGCCGGCATAGCCCTCTGGCTGGGTCTGGTGCAGGATCTGCTCATTCCCATAGGGCTGGGCATAGTCGACTCTAGATTCTGCAAGTGGGTCACCAATGTGTACAAGTGCGCTGGAAAGAACGTAGAAGAAAAGCTGCCACAAGGTAAATAGAAACAATATCTTTTAATATTTGATTTAAATCTTCGACTTTAATTCGTATTTTGTTTCTTCGGTTCTACACACTATCTTTTGTTTCCTAGCAACTATTTTGCATTTTTTCTTGTTGTTATCATCATATTACCCTCAAAATCAAGTCGCCATTGAAATGTTGGACGTAAATCCGCTCTCTAGATCCACTATCAAAATATTTCGTAATTTCGTTTCTAGTCGGCCTTGACGGAAAGTTTCGACCCTTCGGATCCACCAGCCAACCTCAGAGTCTAGAGATCTGCGGACCCGATCGCAATGTCAGGCCTTTTCAAGCCGTAGAACACCGTTTTCCCATCACGAACGGTTCCCTGTACACCAGCATAGATGGCAGACTGCCCGTGATTCACAACTACAGGAGAAACAAAGACCAAAGAGGAGGTAAACTATAGATTCTGAAATTATTGGGCTCTCCTAGTTATAATTCCAAAGTTTTACTGAATATCTTGTACTGATTTTGACTGAGAAGGCTACATCTAAGTGAGCCCTGGAAAATTGTTTTGTTCAGATATGCCCAAAACTGTTTAAGATAAAATAATTATATCCTGAACTAGATATTACTGTTAGGTTTTGAATAAAATGGTACAAAATTGTGTTGTTGAACCATTAGGATGGGTTATAATCATTTGGGAGTAACATCTCTTAAAAATAATTTTATATGCTACAAAAATATCTGCTTTAAATTATAAATCATTCGAATTGATGGTGAAGTAGTGAAGCTGTATATGAAAATTTATTGACGGTAACCGTAACATTGTTGACTGAAATTTAGAAATTATTCTGTAACCTTTAGGTTACAAACATAACAGTAATACTCGGTTCCAAATTTCGTTGTGTTATCTCAAGCGGTTTTGCAGGCTTCTAGAAGGAACAATTTCAAAAGGCTCCCTTTTAATGAGCCCTCTTAGGAAGCATGTCTTCCAAATTTCCTTGTGTTATCGCAAGCAGTTTTGCAGATATCTAGAAAGATCAACTACATAGGGCTCACTTTTAACGAGCCCCCTTAGGAAGCATCTCTTTACTCACATATACACTTTTTCTCCTATTTTTAGTCATGATTAAATACATTAATTTTGACACCATGTAAAAAATAATGTGATATTTGTGTTAAGTATAACAAAATTTTCTCAGGTGTGAAACAGCAAGAAAAACAGTCCTCTAACGTAGCCCTGCACTCGTCACACATCAACCGTCAGGACAACCCTCCGAAATACCCCTCCTGCAGCAACTGCGAGGCCGACCTCTGTCCCAGTCACTCCAACCTGCACCACCTGAGCCCCCAGTACATCAACAAGCAGCTGAATTTGCTCCAGCACAACAAGAACCTCATAATCACCAAGAACGTGCTGCCGGTGAGGGTCAGTCAAAGCCAGGAGTCCCTCACTTACCTGTCGGAAATGCAGAACAGGCCTTGTTTCTACAGGAACTCGGACCTGAACTTGAACGGAAGCTCCAACAATCACATAATGAAGAACTCGAGGAATTTGGTGAGGCTGAACAAGATGAGGTTGAGTAGGAGCGAAGATAGTTTGAACGATCTGCAGGTTAGGGAGCTAGGTGAGTAAAAGTACAATGAAAAGTTAATAGAATTCTTCTAAGCAGTGGTAGTTCAAAGGTACCGTAGGTCCTCGATTTTTATACTTGAGTAGTTCAAAGGTGCCAAAGATATTCCCTTGAATTCTGATTATTTCTCTGCAATATTGTTATATTAAAATGTGTGTCTTCCAGGGAACATACCGCGCTTGCCCACCCAGAAAGTGGCCCTCCAGCTGGAACCTCGCCTCAAACAAAAACGCCGCAGCTACTGCACCAAAGTAGAGGTCAACATCCAGAACGGTTACTCCAGCTCGGACGAGGACTACCTCACGGACCCCAACACGGCCCTTCCCAACGACAACTTCGACTCCATGAGCTCCAAGAGCTGCTACTCCATCACCACCGAAGCGAACTGCGATTTCGAGTTCTTTCAGAGCAAGGAACGGCTGGCCGTCGACATACCCTCGATAGACGCCAGGATCAGTCTCCGCGACAGCTATCTCGGCAATAGCAGATCGGAACTGTCGTCGTTCAAGCAAAGCGATCACCTGTCGTCGAGGAACAGCTCCTTCACGGACCTGGACAAGAATTTCAGGATAACCAGGTCCAATTCGAAGAGGTCTTTGGAGAATTTCCAGGCGTTTATAGAAATAGAAAGCGTGGATTCGAGGAATAACAACGGCGTGGGGGATAAATCCACCTTGCAGAGATCCAACTCGTACGCCACGTTAGAAGATAGGAAGTCGAGGAAACAGAATTTGTTTAACGTCGAATCTAAGTTGGAGCGGTCGAATTTCCGGCCCAAAATCAAGTCCGTGGAGTATCTGCCGAATTCTAATTCCAGTACGGTGTATATAGAAGACGGGACAAAGTACAATTATTACTTAGGGGATAAAAAGGACGTCAACGGACAGAATAAGTGCATCGGGAGCGTGCCCGATTTGAAAAAAGTGTTTATATCGGAGTATATTTAAAACAATCGGCGACAGTGCCTGTCATTTGTCGTCACGGCAGTCCTAGATGAAGTTTATCTGTTACGGCTCACGTAATCGTTAACGTATGTGGAGATTTTTTCTTTTCATTATAAAATACTCATTAATTATACATTGCTGTAAATAGTAGGGCATAGTTTGTAAATATTTTGTATTTATACCACACAAAGATTACCAACTGTATATAAGTTGCTATCCCTGTAGATATGTCTTAAAATTACCATGATTTGTACATTATGTGACGATTTCATTAAAATTAAGGCTCAAAAAAGAAAAACCCATCTTTCTTTATACCCGGATATGTACAATATTACAAAGCCTTATTTGGAATTCTAGGAATTTTGTATCATAAATTAAACTAATAGTTTTTCTCATTTCCACAAATACATTTCCAATTTTCCTTTAAAACGACTAAATTTTCTTATAAAATACATAAATCCAATCAAATTACTCGAATATACTTAAAAAGTGTGTACAGTTTTCATTGAACTACTTTCCAAGAAGCAGTAGTTCAAATGTCCCGTAGGTCGTCGATTTTTACACTTAACTTAGTAGTTTAAATGTACCAATCCTAGTTCTGTAAAGATTCTACTTTCTAATTCTGAATATTCTGGGGCTTGGTTTGTTACCTTTCTTATCATATACAAGTTCTTAATTTTTAGTGTTTATAAAAAACATATATATAAAGTTATTTTCTTACGTACACTGAAAAATATAAAAAACAAATAATGAACGCAAAACATAAGTTCATACATTTAGTTTGAACAGTTCACTATAATGACCAGATTGAAGCTTTTTCATTTAGATCAATACATATTGCGAATTTATTTTTAAAACCACTAAATTACCTTATAAAATACATAAAACCTCAACAGATTACATCAATAAGTTCAAAAAGCGTCCAGTTTATGATATTTTTCCATAGATCTACTTTTCAAGTAGTTCAAATGCCCCGTAGGTCGTCGATTGTAAGATTTCGGTAGTTTAAATGTACCAATCCTAGTGCTGTGAAGATTTGGCATTCTAATTCTGAATATTCCTCCTTTGACATGGCATGGTTCTAACTTTGAAGTCGGGTTTGTTACCTTTCTTGTTACATAAACATAAAGTCTAATTCTTGGTGTTTTGTATCATAAAATAAAACTTTTTACGTTTAGTAGAAATATTTATTTAAAATTACTTTGCTACATACACTGACATACATAAAATAATGAATATAAGGAGTATGATATATTAAAATACTTTGTACAGTTGGCTAGACTAAAGTTTTTCTTTTAGATGAATATACATTTCGAATAAATTTTTTTTAAACAACTAAATTTACCATAAAATACATAAAACCTCAGTCAGGTTAGATCAATATACTCAAAAAGTGTCCACTCTTATCGATATCAGTTCTTAGACCTACTAGTATGTAGCAGTAGTTTGTACATTTCAGTAGTTGGTGTGTATCAATTGGGAAAATGAGCTTTTCTTTCTAATTCTGAACATTTCTCTGCAAAGGAATAATACCGACGTTGGATTTGTATCATTTTTAGACCTACTATGAAGCAGTAGTTCAAATATCCTGTAGGTCCTCAATTTGATTTTCTTTCTACTTCTGAATGCCCTTCTGTGAAGACAATAAATTTAATTTAAACAATTCGTTATTATGGTCAGTTTAAATTTTTTTCATTTAGACAAATATACATTTTGAATTTCTTTAAAAAAAATAATAAATTACCTTATAAAATACATAAAACCTCAATCAAATAGTCAACATATCAAAGTGGCCAGTTATCGACATTGCTTCTTAGCTTTCTAAGCAGCAGTAGTTCACATATCCCGTAGGTCGTAGAAATTACACTTCAGTAGTTCAAATGTACCAACCTGTTCATTTGATATTTGATTCTCTTATTCTGAATATTTCTCTACAAAGGAATAATATCAGTATTATTGGTGTCTTTCTTGCCATATTCACAAGGTCTTAATTCTTGATATTTTGCATCACAAATTGAACATATTGTAGAATAAAACCCATTGTGTTTTTTAGAAATATTTAATTAAAATTACTTTCCTACACACACAGAAAAATACAAAAATAAATAATGAATATACAAAATACAAGACCGTAAATTTACTTTGAACAGTTCACTATAATGGCCAGATTAAAGCTTTTTCATCGAGACGAATATACATTTCGAATTTCCTTTTTAAAACAACTAAATTACCTTATAAAATACATAAAACCTCAGTCAAAGTACATCGATATAATCTAAAGTGTCCGCAATTATCAATATCACTCTTTTAGACCTACTTTCTAAACTGCAGTAGTTCAAACGTTCCGTAGGTCCTCAATTTTTTCACTTTGGTAGTTCAAATGTACCATTGGAAATATTCGGTTCTCCTTCTAATTCTGAATATTCCTCCTCTGCGAAGGTATGGTCCTGACCTTGGCGCTGGGCTTGTTCCCTTTCTTGTCGGCAGGATGGTACGTCAGGAACTGATTCTTGTAGCTGGAGGAGTAGGAGTCGGCTATACTGCGACCGTCCCCTTCGTCTCTACGTGACATTTCTGAAAAGGGGGAGAGCCTTTTCGGGTCCGACTCCTCCTTCTGCCTCTGTTCGGACCTGCGAAATCACAACTGTACTGTCTTACTGGAAAATCTTCGTCCGGCCCGCTCGTTCCTTACCTTATCAGGCCCTTCTTGTTCTTCACCTCCCTCTCCAGGATATCGGCGGTGGTAAGGTCGGAGCTCTGGATCTGCTGTAGGGCGCTGGCGTTCTCCGACAACCACGGCTTGCTGGACTTGGACTTGCAGCCGCAAGCGTCGGGTTTGCACCTCTGGCACTGCGCCCCCTTCAGCTCGCTGTTGATGTCCTCGTCGTCTAATATTCCTAAACGAGAAAGACAGAAACATGCCACTGTTATAGCGATGACGGTATGTTCTTACCTAGCGTTATTTTTTCTAGGACCGAATTGTCAGTTTTGGGTGCCGATTGTGTGGATTGGTTCAACAACAACTTGGAAAGAGGTGGTGCTAGTCCTAGTCCGATGTTTCGTTCGTGGTAAACTTCCGATATGGTAGGCGTCAGCTCCCTGTTGATGTGTCTCAGTTGTGTAGCTAGGATAGTGTCGTGAAGCGCTGGAAAAGTGTACGACGTGACATTAGAAAGAATTTCTGACGCAAATCATTGTCGACTTACTAGTAGATGCGCTGCTCGATTTGCCGTCGCTCTTGCTGAGGTCTTGACTGGACTCATCCTTGTCGGAGGTGGAGGCGATCGATGCCAGATTGGAAGCGGCATCTGTGTCGTTTGGAGAGAAGTATAACAGCCGTTCGTTGGTAGGCAAAGTCTCTTCGCTCGGCAAGGTGATGGGCTTGCGGCTTTGTGGTGGCGCGGGATGAAGATTCTGTGACGGTGTCACCTAGAAAAGTATCGGAAGTAATTTTGTCAACGTTTAACGCAAATTTCGCTTACCTCGGTTCTAACGCTGAGCCTGTCTAAAGTGCACATAGGATTCCTCGATTTTTTGTACGAAATCTTGCTCCTGCTGTTGGAATTGAACAGTTTCGCCTCCATCTTCTCCAGTTCGCTGTCGGAGCTGTTCTCGAACATCCCGGCGGGTAAGTTGTTGTACAGGGGCAGGTCCACCAACGGCTTGGTACGTGGCGGCGGCAAAGGAGGCACCTAAACGTAAAAAAGTCGTTACGTTTTAAAACGACGACTCGTTCGTGAACCTACCTGGTTCTGTGTCTGTCTCCTAAGCACCGTGGCATGTCCGTTATCCCAATCGGTGGCGGAACTGGTGGAACTCGAACTATCGGGTCGGATGTTGTCGTTCTTGCCGTCGTTCTGCGAGTAGAGGTTCCTTATCCTCGTCTGGTGGGCCAGGGACAGCGCTATGGTCTGATTTTCAGGCTATACGTATTACACAATACATACCAAACGGTAAACGATACAAATCATTGACGCAACTACCCATTTACGAGGTATATTCGCTCGTTGCTCAACAAAAAACGTGCAAAAACGCTGTGAAGCTTAAAAAATTCAAGTTCAAAAGTCATTACCTGTAAAACCACCGGCGGGCTGGGGGTGAATGCTGCGTCCGACTCCCCACCTCCGGGCCTGGCCAGCGTACCGTTCTTCCTCGTCTTGTTGTCCGAAACCGCTTTGGTGTCGGTTGGATTGGCCGTACGACCGTCCGGTTCGCCTCTCTTCCTTACGTACGATGTAAAAGCACCACCTAGTCTCTTGTTGGGTAAGACGGTCCGCGAGAAGGGAGGCGGGACCCGCGGCATGGACTTAGTGGACGGTTTGGGGGTGGGACACATGTTTAGCTCATTGTCCGAGTGTGAGAAGTCGTTGTCGACCGAGGCGAGCGACTCTAGGCTACTCGAGGAGTCGATGGTAAGGCTCTTCGGGGCTTCTTGCGTGTCTACGGGGAAAGTTGATAAAAGAATACAAGGTGTTTTTAAAGATAATCCATCTGAGGAACTAAATATTCAAACAGAGATGAATAAAAGTGATATAGGACAACAATTTTATATCTGGATCACTCATCTTTGTCTACGTAATTCTCGCGGGTGCAAGGAGCTGATGCTCATTACTCGTGTGTGCAAGATTGCTCCTAGATTTATGTGTGCAACGAATCGGCGCAGCCATACCGTTTTCCTTTACAACTACGTCAGTTTAATAAATATACTTAAGAGAGCTCGACAGCAAATAGCCAACCAGCAATACATTTTTATAGATTTTGTAGCACAATTTATCTAAATATGAATTAATGCACAAATAAGAGACTTTTCTCCATTCGGACGCAGATTTTCTATAAAATGGACTTAATTTGAAACTGAAATTGCTCTTTGGTGTAAAGAAATTTGTAATTCACGATGCCGCTTGTTCAAAAACGGCAAATTACATACTTCATATTATAAAAAATCTGGGTCAGAATGGAGGAAAGTCTGTAATTTGTGCATTAATTCATATTTAGACAAACTGTGTAATAAAATCTGTAAAAGTGTGTCGTTGGTTGTGTATTTGCTATAGAGCTCTCTTAGGTTTAGCCTACGTAAGCTTATTCCTGTAAAAAATTAAAACTTACCGAATAATGCTAGCAAAGCTTGGAGCGTGAACTGGATGTTCCTCCTGTTCGCTTGTTTCCCGGTCCTTAGAGTAACTTTATCCTGCCCCACGTCCGTCAAGTCGAAACCGAGCGAAGCCAGTAGTTCGTGACAACCCGGCACCCTCCATAACCTGGATTAAGAAACGTTTCGTTACTTCTATTTCACGTTTTAAATTATTTCGTGGATGAATTACCTGACGTTCAAGGCTACGTCTACGCTGTCGCTGTCCAGTCCCTTGGAAGTAAACTGAGAGAGCGCCGATTGGATGACGGCTATTATGTCATCGGCAACGTCGGGGTTGGACGTTAGTTTGCAAAGGGCGTGGATGGACGTACTCGTCAGACCTAGAAGATAAAGTACACTAAAATAAAGAATTTACAACTTGGAGTTTAGGGGCATGTGTAATAGTATATTACGTAATAAGTGTTGTAAAAAGCATTTTACGCACGAATGGAAAAGTTACGCACGAAGCCACGTAGCGACGAGTGCGTAATTCTATGAGTGCGTAATTGCATTACACCACGTATTACGTACTATACTTTACCTACGACCACTATTTTAAATACTTAAAAACACACCGTCTGCGATCAATGCAATATTCCTATTACCTCGTACGGTATTAAAATCGCACAGCTTGGTAAAAAAATCGTACAGTTTTCCTAGCAACCACCTAGCAACGGTCAATACAAACCTGTGTGATTTCTTTACCGTACGTAATAGGAGTCTTACATTGATCGCAGACGGTGTGTTTTTAAGTATTTACAGTACTGGTCGTAGGTAAATTTTATTTAAAATATATTTACACAAAATCAAAACACTTTTTATTTTTTACACCCATTTTTTAAAGTCCTGTAGTTAAAAAGTATATCTTTACTACGAAAACCAGAAAAGTACTGTTGTATCCATGTAGATGGGAAGACTACGACAACCTAAGTTGACAGGTTGTTGACGAAACATATTTTGTACTAATTAACTGCCCCTGTATTCTAATTACCCGATTTGATCATATCAAATGACATGATTTTTATTTCAAATACAAATAGGGGCCACTAGACTCAAAAAAACCGTTAAATTTATTATTTTGCCTTTTACAACAGATTCGTATTTTAAAAAGTTAAATTTTAAATTGTGATACTTTCTGACTTGGCAAAATTAATTTATTCGTTTATAGACTAGGCGGTATCTGTTTTGGTTTGGGTGAATCGTATATCCACGGAGATTTTTGGCTTTTTGGCTTTCAAATGAGGAAAAAAATATTTCTAATTAAATTATACAAAATATGACTAGTTACAAATCAAATGAATCATGATTATTGTAAAAATCGAAAAAATTGTCAAAAATGGGGTCAAAAAACATTACCTTTTAGCGAATTTTTTTGGGGTCTTTAAGTTGGATATAGGACCTTCATAAAACTCAATAAAACTTCATGTTATGCAGAATCATCACACCAAATTTCATCAAAATCGGTTCTATAGATTTTGCATAATAATTTTGCAATCCAGATTTTCAAAAAAAAATTGCAAATTTTCAAAATTGTGCACAGCAAAAACCAAGGCTATTAGATACTTGAAAAATTTATTCACATATAGAAGGGCTCTCAAGCTTTCAAATGCTTTTTGAAAAATTCGAATCCGTCTGTTAGGAGAGCTCTGGCGCTTGTTTCAACATTGGTCGAATTTTTGTACTTATAAACAATTAGAATAACTTTGTCAATATTCAATCAAATCAAATTTTTNCGCTTGTTTAAACATTGGTCGAATTTTTGTACTTATAAACAATTAGAATAACTTTGTCAATATTCAATCAAATCAAATTTTTTAAAGCAAGTTTTAAAAGTTATTGGAAAGAGGCTTCTTTAAAAAAAAAACAGATCGATTGGTCAATTAGTTACGTAGTTATAGCCGATCAAAATTAACCGTCATTTACACTAAATGTACTGGGACATCCGTGCTAATTTTTCGAAAAACCTTTGGTATTCCGAGTACTTACCAGGTCTAAGTTTACAATACTTTTCTTCATTGGCAACCTACTTTAAAATGCGTTTAAAGTTATTTATGCAAGCGAGAAATTCAAGAAAATCGTACGGGTGGTGGTGGTGGGGGAAGCAGAGAGCGCGGCCGCTTCGGCCTGCTCGAAATTGAATCGGCGAGTTCAAAACCGCGACGCGCTTAAAAATTTTTAATATCTCAGCTTCTAGAGGTCCGATTTTGATGATTTTTTTTAAATCGATGTCTCGCGATTTAAAAAAAAACAATTAGCGTATTTTCAAATGCCTATCGTTAATAATTATTGGTCTTTCAACAGTCCGATAATTATTTATCTTTAAACTTCCTTTAATTATCAACTTTATTTTTTTATTGTATCAAAGGTAAGTGCATAAACTTATATACTGTTTATCAAAGATCAAAAACAAATTTATTTAAATATTCTAAAATTGTTTAAACAACAATTATTTTCAAAATATGTCGAAAATTAGTAATTAATTAATTAATTAATTAATTATTAATTTAATCATTATTTCTTTTGTGATTAAAGTATAACTCAAATATTATTTACTGTTTAAAATATAAGCAAATGAGAAATTAACTCATTATATTACAAAAATACAAAATTATAGTACAAAAATTTGACCAATGTTTAAACAAGCGCCAGAGCTCTCCTAATCGACGGATTCAAATTTTTCAAAAAGCGTTTGAAAGCTTGAGAGCCCTTCTATATGTGATTAAATTTTCAAGTATCTAAGGACCTTGGTTTTTGCTGTGCAAAATTTTGAAAATTTGCAATTATTTTTCAAAATCTAGATTGCAAAATTATTATTCAAAATCTATCTAACCGATTTTGATTAAATTTTGTTTGATGATTCTACATAACATGAAGTTTTCTTGAGCCAAGTATGAAGGTCCTATACCCAACTTAAGGACCCCAAAAAAATTCCCTAAAAAGTAATGTTTTTAACCCCATTTTTGACGATTTTTTCGATTTTTACAATAATAATCATGATTCATTCGATTTGTAACTAGTCATATTTTGTAAAATTTTATTACAAACATTTTTTTCCTCTTCCATTCTCACCTAAAATCAACTCTTGAAAAGATACATAATTAAATAGGAAGAAAAATATGACATTTTTCGAATTTCTTTTAACATTTTGTGCCGCCAAAAATTAAGCCCCATGTTTTTTTTATGCGCATAGAAAAATTTTCATATTTAGTGATATTTTAAAGCCAAAAAGCCAAAAATCTCCGTGGATATACGATTCACCCAAATATGGACTCTTTGAAACAGATACCGTCTGGACTATTAGGGCTTTCTTTATTTTGAGGTTAAAATTTACTTTGGTATTATTTTTTAAACTAGAATCTGCCGCAGTGCATTAGAGTTAGTTAGAGTTTACCTAATAAAGCCTGCAAACTAGCCGAGCACTGAGTCAGCCTTTCTTCTGGGTCGGATTGGGGGAAGAACACGCTGCTGGGTATGCCGTTGGACGCCGGCTCGAATCTGAATCCAACGGACATCAAGAGCTCCCTCCAACCCGTCACAGATCCAACCTGGTGGGACGTAATCAATTAAAAGATTTGCTCCAAACGCTAGAAATATTCCATAAACTCACCTTATTCTCAATCGACTTCTGCGTGGTGTACATGGCGTTCTTCTGCCCGCGATGTATCCTCTGCAGGCTCTTCTCCACCAGGTGCAGCGTCACCCGCAACGCGTCCCTGCACTTGTCCGGCACCTGCAGGAGCTCGCACAACGCCTGTCCCATTAGCGCAACTTTATTGGAAAGACGCACGTTGAGACCCACCAGGACGAAACCGGCCCAGTTGGCCGGATGGGCGAAATGCTTAGTGTGCTGTACGGTCTGCATGGCCTCCGCCAGAGCCCTGAGGAACGGAAAACGTCGGGTGATTAAAAGAAAATTATTATCGAGTGATATCGTTACCTCGCAGCTCTGGTTCCTTGCAGCATGGCGGAGTAGAACGCCCTGAGGAGGATCTTTGTAGCGGTGTCGGGTACCGGCCAGAGCGAAACGAGTACCGCTTGGGCCCCGGCGGCCAGCAGGGCGCGTACCAGGGCTACTAGACCGTCGGAGGTCGCCCAGCCTTGTTGGTCCCTCGTGTGGGATGAACTCACCTAAGAAAAACGAACAAAACAAATGATAGATGCAAGAATCTTCATTTTTCGTGAAGTTACGGCATTGGCGAGTTTTGAAAATAGAACTTACCACTACAAGCCTAGCGGACAATCGTAACGACAGAATGTCGGCGGCGCTCAACAAAAACTCCGACAAAGGCGGGAGTTCTGCCGTCGTAGACACTTCGTTACCCTCGTCTTCTTCCGTGTTGTCCGTAATGTACAACCTCTTCGACTGGCTCTGATCCAGCACCTTAAAATACAACAAAAAGATAAACGATTAAACGTTAACGGTAACTTTTATAAAGTACCTCGGCGGGGCTGAGGACCAACGAAGACAACTTCCACGACACATGCGTCGCAAAGTGTACGCACTCCGCCTCTTGGATCTGGTTCAAGACTTGCTCCTTCGTCGCTAGACTGCCCACCAAGACCTGACTCTGCAGCAGCTCCGCCACCATGGTGGCTTCCTGTTCGGCCTGGGGGATGTCTTTCCAGCCCCAGTGATCCGTCACGGCGCTCGGGAGCTTCGGGTTGCCCACGATCAGGCTCCTCACCTGTATCTTTCAATAAAAACAATCGTACATAAATAATGTCAAATTTCGTACCGCCTGGTCCTGATCCTGCTTCCTCGTCCTGCCCGACCTCAACGTCGACAGATTCGGCACCACCAGCAGCGAGAACCTCTCGCAGAGGTACTCGGAATTCTCGTTCGAGGACCGCAACACGGGGAACGGCACCAAATACAAGTCGCCCTCCAGCACCAAGATGAGTTCCCTACGGCTGGCGTTGTCCTTACTCGACGTTTTCGACGGCAGGAATTCCTCGAACGGTTGTAAAAGCAACGTGTACAACGCGTGTAGGCAACTGGGTCCTTTCCACGTTTGCCGTCTCGAGACCCTGGTCGACCCCTGAGCGCTAGCGCTCGATCTGGTGCTGCCTGGAACACGAAAGTGAAGTTTTTTTAATTGCTGGTGAGATATAACCTATAAAGTATATGTCAAATCTTACATGTCACTGGTAACCAGAGCCTACTAGCAAAATGACCTACTAATCTGTAGGTCTATGAAGCAACACAAAATAAAAACTAGTAGTGCTGTATCTTTTAATGCTCCTTAAAAACGATCTTAGGTATTCACTGGTTATTGCGAGCGTAATTCAATGTTGGAAGAGTCATGTAGCTCTCAGTGATCGTTTCCTGCAATACCATCAGTTAAAATGTCTTTTTAATTACCTTGAAGAGACGCCACCGAGCCCCCGACGCTTCCGAGAGAGAACAACGAGCTCAACGAATAGTTGCTCGAGTTCATCATGTGCTGACGATTGACCATCCTCAAGAACCCAGTTCTCTCCGATATCGTATCCTCGGAATACTGATCCTCGGCTATGGTGGTACATGGCGACAACTCCAAGCCCAGGCTGTCCCTGACGGAAGTGACCAGCTTCTCCAGGAGACCGGTTCCGGATGGCACGGGATCGGAGTTGTCGCAGTTACCGTCCTCGGCGGATTCGACCAGGGGAACCGAGTGGAACTTGACGATGCCTGAAAATTTAAAGTTTAGACTTCCGTTTCCGATAACCGAGAGGTATTTCCTCACCTTTCGTGGGCATTATCAGCCACGCGTAGAGGAAACCGGCGGCTACGCTGTAATACAGCACCGAGGCCCTCTGCCTGTTGACTATGTCTTTGAGGTGGTCGAGCGTGTTTAAGCCGAAGTCTTCCAGTCGGTGCGTCTTCGTCTTCGATTTGGACTCGGTCATGCCCTGTCGTTCTAGGAGCAGGTCGACGAAGGCCCTGTTACGCCCCCTTTCGGCCACCAGGAGAGCCTCGTCGGAACGATTCAGACCTGGAAAACATGTCACAAACAATATATTCCATTTTAAATTGACCTTGAAACTTGAAATCAAGGTCAAATCTGAGCGTATTTGTTTTAACGTAATTTTACTTACAAACCAAAACTTTTTGTAAGACTTGGTAACTGGACGACTGCAATTCGAATAAAGAAAGTTTGTAATCCGGCGTGTTCCTGGCTTCCCTCCTGATGTTTTCCAAGAGATGCGTGGCCGCTTCCAGTTGCTTCTGAGCGCCCTCTAGGTCTCCGTTGGCCCACAGAGCGAGCCCCAACCTATTCCTTATCTTGGCCTGCAAATCGACGGATGTGCTTCATAAAATAACGATATACCTTCAAATCGACAGTTTACCTCCTCATCCCGCCTCCCCAGGGCTTCGGCTATGCACAGCCCTTGCGTCAGATACGCCACGGCTTGCGTACGGTTGCCCAAGAGTTGGTGGACTCTACCCAAGGCGCTGTACGCCACTGTTTTCGCTAACTGGTCGTTGGTGCTCGCCGCTATGGACAGGTGTTGTTCCTGGTAGTGTACCGCTTGGTCAAGGTTGCCCAGGGCTTCGTACACTGAACCTATTCAGCATAAAAACATTTGTATCAAAAAGGCACCCACCCAACCACACCATTTACTCCTCCACCTAACCTCAAATTGTCGCGACCTACCTAAATTTCCGCAAGCTCTGCTTTGAAGCGTCGGCATGCCCAGTTGTTCGGCGATTTCTAAGTCGTTCTGGTGATATCTCAATGCTGTCGAAAATTCTCCCATTTGATGGTAAACGGTGCCCAAACCGCACAACGCATCCGATTCCATCACTTTGTCATCTGTAAAACAATCGTTTGTGAATTTCATAGACGTTCTTTGACGTAACGCTTACTCAAATCCCTAGCAATGCCTTTCTGGTGGTCTAAACAAGAGACCGCCTGCTCCAAGTTTCCTAAAGTGGCGTGAAGCTGTCCTAGTTCCCCGTAAGCAGCAGCTTTGGCTTCCGGGTTGCCCAGTTCATGCGAAACCACCAGTCTTTTCTCCAAACACACAAGCGCCTGTTGGAGGTTCCCTAAAGAACGCTGAGACTGACCTAAAACGTTTTAGAATAGGAAGAGTGTCAAGCGGGTAAATACTAAAGTTACCTAAACCTCTGTAGGCCCTCTCCTGATCCCTGGCGCTTTTAAGCTTCAATGATATGGCAAGATATTGCTCGTGGCACTTGGCAGCTTCCTCTGGATCACCCAAAGCATCGTAGCAGTCTCCTAGGCTACCAAAAGCTCGCCCCCTGTCCAATTGAGCGGTGGGAGAACTCAGTCTTTCTAACGTGGCAAGTTGTTGCTCGAAATATCCGATGGCGTCTTCGTAGTGAGCCATGTTCAGTCTAAGAACGACGCAAGTAGAGTATCGAACGTTTCGTCAGATTAATTCGTTTACCTTGCGATCCCTAGGTTTCCGTAAGCCTGAGCCTCCACGGCGCAGTCTTGGAGTTCCTGGGCTCTCTCTAGTTGCTCTTGATAGCACTTGACGGCGTGAGTGTAGTTACCCAGGGCCATGTGGACGGCTCCCAAGTGGCCGTGGGCTCGGCACTCGCCAGACAGCTCGGACATTTCCTGACGTAAGGTCAGTTCTTGAGTGTGATAACCTTAAAGTGACATTAATATTATAAACTACAACATAAAGAACAGTTTCTGTAAGTAAATATTTAAGTAGAACTTAAATAAAGAACTTAATAACAGAAATAATGCACTTTCTGTCATTTGGCGCCCAACGTGGGGCCTTTTCCAGTGAAATTTGGGACAAAGGAATTAGTTTTTAGCATTTCTGCAAATAAATTTTAAATATTTGACTAAATCCCGTTATTTGGCGCCCAACGTGGTTAATTTTTGAACAAAGAAACAGTTTTTTAAAATAACTATGTATATTATAACATAAATACTATTTCAGGAAAGAATATAAAGTATTTCACTAAGATTTAAACATAAAGCTTGCTTAAATAACAATTTGTTTTGGCGTGGGGCATTCTGCCAAACCTCAAAACAAAATGTCTTTTGTGACTTACCCAGAGCCTTATCTAACCGTTTCAGCAGCCTGTGAGCTATACCGAGCGCTCCGCAAGCGGCAGCTTCCATGCCTCGGTCCCTGTTACTCCTCGCCAGCGCCAACTGCCTATGATACATTTTCACAGCCTCCTCGGTCTCCTCCATCTTGATCAGGACGTCGCCTATGTTGCCGAGCGCTCTGAATTTCCCTAAAACCAACAATCAGCTCAACCTAAAGGGACGAGTAAGTTTTAACCGTCTCCTCTTACCCGCCAAGTTGTTGGTCATGTGAGCTATAGCCAGGAAGTATTTCTGGCACTCCAGGGACGTCTCCAGTTGGCCTAAGGCCAAGTGAGCCAGGCCCAGGTTGCAGTAGGCCCTTCCCATGTTCATTTTATCTTGTAGGTCCTTGGCCAAGGCCAGGTCTTGGTCGTAGTAGCGCACGGCTTCCCTATAGTTGCCGATGCAGTAGTGAGCGTAGCCTGTGACAGGAAAATTGTAAATTTAACAACGACTACATTGGAATATCTCTCTTCGTACCTAAGAAATGGCAAGCCTTGGCTTCTCCTTCCACATCGGCGAGTTCCTGTGACAACATAAGGTATTGCTCGTAGTAAGGAATGGCTTCGGCAAACTCGGACCTGGAACTCAGGCAGTTCGCTAAATTCAACAAGGCGCAAGCCTCCCCCGCTGTATCCTTTAACTCCCTTGCTATACCTGAAAAGAAATTGTTTTTAATACATCAAAATTATGATTTTCTCGGGCATCAAGGCAAAATGATTAATAAAAGTTTTTACCTAAGTGTGCCCTGTAGTGTAAAAGCGCCATATCGTGCGCCCCGAGCGCTTGATACGCCACGGCCAAGTTCCCGTGCGTGCTAGCCTCGGAACTCCTGTCGTGCACTTCCTTACTGATGGTCAACTCTTGCTTGTGGTACTTGATGGCCGACTCGTAGAACCCAGCCGCAGAATAGGCGTTACCGATATTGCCATACGCCCTACCCATCCCCGCTCTGTCTTGTAGATTCCTGGCTATGGCTAAGTGAGCTTGGTGTAGCTTGAGGGCAGCGTCGTATTCACCTTGAAGAAAAATTTTTATACAGGGTTCAGGTCTGGCGAAACAGGCGACTTACCGAGTAGTTGGTATACGATTCCCAAGTTAGAGCAAGCTCTACCTTCCCCAACTTTGTCCCTAGTGGCTAGAGCGACGTCTAGTTGTCTCTCGTGCCACTGTTTCGCTTGGACGTAGTCTCCGGCGCATCTACACGCGTGACCGAGGCCGGCATAGGCACGAGCCTCTACAGATCTAAAATCATACAAAACAACAATGCAACAAAGCTTCTCGACGCAAAAATAAAGCTGTTACTTACTTGTCGCCGATGGCCTGAGCTAATCTCAATACTTTTTCATGGTAAACGATCGCTTGGGCGAAATTCCTCTTGTAGTGGTGACTGGAGCCCAAGTTGCTGTACGCCCTGGCTTCTTCCACCTAAAAAAGAGACATTTTTACAAACGTTTACATTTAATCTATAAAAAATCGCGTTTACCTGGTTGCCTAGTCGCCTGGCTATCCTCAAGTGCTGCGTGTGGCAATCTACAGCCGAATCAAAGTCGCCCATGGCTAAATACACCGCTCCTACGTTGCCGATCTCTCTAGCCTCCTGTAAACGGTCGCCCATTTGCTTGACGAGTTGCACGCACTGTTTGTGCGAGGCCAAAGCGTTAGGATAGTCACCGATAGCCGTGTAGACGTGACCGAGCGACGTTAGAGCTGCTGCCGCTGCTTGGGTGTCCTATAAAAACGTTTATATGAATAAAATACGTGGGATACACTTTCAAGTGAATTTTTTCCAACAGTAGTTCAAATGTCCCATAGGTCCTCGACTGCTAGGAAACCTCCCTTGCAGTTCGGTAGTTCAAATGCACCAAAAATATCTGTACATTTGATTATTAATGTTTCCTTAAAATTTTTCTCATTATTCGTAAAACATCATGCACATGAAGTCTCGAGTATTTATTTTTACTGGGTTTTACGTACGAAACGCTTTAAGATGCTTACTTTGCACTTCATGGCAAGCACCAGCTGGTACCTGTGGGCCGTGAGGGCTTCTTTGTAGGAGCCCTGGCTGAAGTAAGCTGAACCCAGATTCCCGTGAGCCCTGCATTCCCCGGCGGTGTCCCCTAGGCTCTTTGCTATGGCCAGATCTTGTTGCATGTACCTGGAAAGACGATCAAATGTCGTTAAGGATTATTTTGCAGGACGATAGGGACAGATACTAAATTTCCAGTTGCCAGTCTTACCCGATTGCTTTGTCCAATTGGTTTAGAGCCCAGTGCGCGGAACTGAGGGCGCTGAAGACGGAGCCCCTTAATTTAAGGGAACACGATCCTATCCTCAAAGCCGACTCTAGGACTGTGACTGCGGAGTGGTACAGACCGGCAGCTAGTAGTTCCTAAAAGCGTTATTCACTTGAACTGTGACATGTTATTTTAAAAAGTAACAAATTATAAAAATAGTTCACTTTAGAAAGCAAAAAAATGATCTGGGCAGGTGATATTACAATGTTTAAAGGTCAGGTTTACAACTGTAGTAATGTTTAGAAAAATATATGTACTGTCGCATGGTGAGAGATTAAGCAACTACTTTATGAGTTCTGTATATTCAAATCATGTTCTTAATAATGCTCAGGGGAAGATATGCAACCAAACTTACGCCGATGGTAATGATTAGCAAAAAATTCCCTAGAAATAACCCCAAATCATACCAGCATAGCAAATATTTTGTTTCCCTTACAAAAATAAGCAACTATGTTGAGTTTTGTATATTCAAATCATGGTCTTAATATTGTTCAATGAATGTTATGCAACGAAACTTACATCGATGGCAATGATTAGCAAAAAAATCCCTACAAATAACCCCACATCATAGCAGCATAGCAAATATTTTGTTTCCCTTGCAAAAATAAGCAACTATGTTCAAATCATGGACTTAATATTGTTCAATGAATGTTATGCAACGAAACTTACATCGATTGTAATGATTAGCAGAAAAATCCCTAGAAATAACCCCAAATCATACCAGCATAGCAAATATTTTGTTTCCCTTGCAAAAATAAGCAACTACGTTCAGTTTTGTATATTCAAATTATGGTTTTAATATTGTTCAGTGAATGTTAATGCAACGAACCTTACATCGATTGTAATGATTAGCAGAAGAATCCCTAGAAACAACGCCAAATCATATCAGCATAGCGAATATTTTGTTTCCCTTGCAAAAATAAGCAACTATGTCGAGTTATATATATTCAGATCATGGTTTTAATATCGTTCAATGAATACTTACATCGATGGCAATTATTAGCAAAAAATTCCTAGAAATAACCCCAAATAATAACACCATAGCAAATATTTTGTTTCCCTTTCAAAAATAAGCAACCAAGTGCAGTTTTGTATATTTAAATCATGGTTTTAATATCGTTCAATGAATGTTATGCAAACAACTTACATCGATGGCAATGATTAGCAAAAAAATCCCTAGAAATAACCCCAAATCATACGAGCATAGCGAATATTTTGTTTCCCTTGCAAAAATAAGTAACTATGTTGAGTTATATATATTCAGATCATGGTTTTAAAATCGTTCAATGAATGTTATGCAAACATACTTACATCGATGGCAATGATTAGCAAAAAAATCCCTAGAAATAACCCCAAATCATACCAGCATAACAAATATTTTGTTTCCCTTGCAAAAATAAGCAACTATGTTGAGTTTTGTATATTCAAATCATGGTCGCAATATTGTTCGGTGAATGTTATGCAACCAAACTTACACAGATGGTAATGATTAACAAAAAATTCCCTAAAAATAACACCAAATCGAACCAATATAGAAAATATTTTGTTTCCCTTGCGAAAATAATACTTCCATCTGGCGAATGTAATAGTTTATTGACTGAACAATTCAAAAAATTAAAATTAATTTGTAGGAATATCTGATTTACAAGAATCTTTAGTTAATAAGTTCACTTTGGTAACTTTTAGGTGCCAACATAAGAACACATAATTCACTAGGAACGAGAAACATAGTAAAAAGCACATTATTAGTTATTAGACCTCCAAAAAAATAAAATAAACTTCGTTCCTACCTGCCCCACCACGGATATGAGCACGAAGGGGCTCTGGTCCAGCTTCATAACCTCCAGCTGCTGGAAAGTGGGCTCCAGGTTGTGCCGCAGCGGGGACTTGACGGAGGCCTCCACCAGGCCCGACAGCAGCTGCTGGGAGGTGGGATCCTGCGCCAGGCCTTGACTGAAGGCGGCCAAGGCGTCCCCGTGCCGGCCCAGGCATTGCAGCGCCACGCCCTGCCTAAAATCGGAATCAATAAGTAACGATCTCTTATACGTTACTTCCAGGGTGAGCTTTACCTGTAGTAGGCCTTGGGCCAGGTGGGGCACAGCTCCCTGGCGGTGACGGCATCCTGGAGGGCCTGCGAGAAGAGTCCCTGCTTCAGTTTCGCCGCCGACCTGTTGGAGTACAGGATATGGTTGGTGGGGTCCAACTGGAGGGCGTCTGTATAGAGGGCCACAGCGGTGGCGAAGTCGCCACTCTGGCAGGCGGCGTTCGACTGGCGTACCTGGCAAGAACAGTTGGAACATTAAAAAAAATAGTTGAAAAACTAAAGCGCCCAAAACACCAGTTATTTTAAGTTACTTATTTCAAACAATTTTTAACTAAATTTTTGCGAGCATTAAAAATAGTCATTAATAATACAGCAGTTTTTGGAAGGTCCTTAAAACTGTTTCATCAAGAAATATGCCATTTTCAATTTTCCATAAAACGGGTGTTTACCAGTGTAGGAAGTACTTATAGTTCACTGAAACATTTTGGCTACCAATTTTTTCGGATGGAATGGATTGACGTGAAATTTGAACTGTAGCTAGGGAATAGCCCAACAAACAAAAGTTATGTAGTGCCGATGTGTGCTTTTACCCTAGGGGTGAACGCCACCTCTTCTGGAGGGTGGGAATTTTTTATTAAAAATAACCTCACGATTCGATAGAGGAAAGAATTCTAAGCAAAAAATGTTCTATAAGAATTTTTTGTACAGTCGATACTTTTTGAGTAATTTGTGCCCAAACTTGTTCGTTTTTAGCCCTAAAAAAATGAATGTTTTTGAGCCATTTTTCGCGAATATCTCAAAAACTACGAGTTTTATCAAAAAAATGATCATTAGCAAAAATGAAGGTAATTAAATAACAGAATAACAACAAGAGATTGCTTTTCTTATTTTTGTAGATGGTATAGAACCCGAGTTATGACTCCCAGAAGTTGAAGTCAATTTCGAAAATAGCTATAATCGAAACATTCAACGTCCTATAAAGGTTTTTCAAGGAAAACTTATATAACAACACTTATTAAAGTTCTTGAAAAGACCTTTAAATTGAGTGGTGGTAGAAGTCGTTAGCATGAAAACTAATGAAGTTACAATCGAAATAAAATGATTGTCTTGATTTTTGAGAAAAAAAAATCGGTATTAAAATTAATGACTTGACGGGAAAAAAATTAAACGTATTCCTTCTGCAATTTACTTTATTTATACAGGGTGTAGGCCACTAGATCTTTCGGCAAAATACACTCGCGTTAAACAGCTCATCTTTTTAAAAATACATTACAATACATTTATTTTTTTTGGTCATAAATCCTTAACATTTCGAAGAAACTTGAAGAGATCAAAAAGTTAGTAAATGAATGGGGTTTTTTAGACATATTTTTTAAAAGGAAAAAATTTTATCGAAAAAAAAATT